CACTGCCTCCCGTTACGCGGATCCTGCCACCCCCCTCCTGGCCCTGGGGAGTCCAGATCTGCCCCTGAGCCCTGGGCTGCATTCGAAGGACCCCCCCACAGGCCGGGTCGGGAGCGGGGGCGAGCAGGATGGCGCGGGCATCTTGGGCTTCTGTCCCCTTGCAGTGCGCAGCAGGGATGGCTGCGATGCAGATTTTGCGGTGCCTGGCCAGGGCCGCCCACGGGCGCGTGGGTGACCCCTGCCCCTGGACGACCCATGGCCAGCCCACCCACTCCGCTCTTGCACAGGGCCCTGGCGCCGTGAACACGTGAGCGCTTCTGCCTCGCAAACCAAAGCAGAAACGCCAAGGGCCGGGGAGGACCCGGGCATGATTCCAGGGTGGCCCCTGCACCTCGATCTAGCCCTCGCCGGGCTTCAAGCCCCAGGGGAGCGACACCGCCCAGCACCGGGCAAACTGAAGGGGGAAGGTGGGGCAGGAAGTCTGCGGGGAGGGAGCTGCTATGCCAGCCATAACCCTTATCAGGTCTGGGAGGCTCAGAGCCTGAGGGCAGCGGGTCACTTTTCAAGGGCCCAGCACAAGAACCCAGGCTCTTGAAGGCCAGGTGTTTGGGTCCCTTTAGTGTAAGGGACGCTCCAGGCTTCCTGCAGGGCAAGTGCTTATCACTCATTCATTGTGCTATTTATTGCTTTTGGGGTTTTTTTTTTTTTTTTTTTTTTTTTTTTTTTTTTTTTCTATTTTGGTTTTTTTTTTTTTTTTTTTTTTTTTTTTTTTTGAGACTGTATCTGGATGTTTAGCCAAGGATGGCCTGGAACTCTCAGCAATCTTCTTGCCTCAGCCTCCTGAGCCCTGAGAACCCAGGTATGTATCATCATGACCAGCCACACTTCATGTTTTGTGAGCAACCCATGCCACATTGCCTAGGCTGAGCCTGAACACCTGAGCTCTAAATTTAAGAGATTCTCCTGCCTCAGCTACCTTTCTGTACAGGTTACCTGTGTCAGGCTCCGTGTAGTACCTGTGAATGTCAGCCTTTCATCCTCAGAACACTGCCCAAGGTCAGCATTAGTATTTCCCCATTTTACAAAATGGAAAATTCAACTACAGATAATCAGCCCACTCAGGAATCCACGTTTGAGGACCAAGGGTCTGGGATTCATGAATCTGGTGGGCAGTCCAGCTGAAATTCCAGCCCTAGGCCCCAGATGTAACTAGCAAGTACTTAGCGCACATGCCCTAGATTTTTCCTCATGCAACACACCGAAAAACAACCTTAGAAGCTGAGTGTGCTGTGCATATTTATAATCCCAGCACTCTTTGAGGCTGAGGCAGGAGGATCTCAAGGTCTAGCCTAGCCTGGGCAATTTAGCAATTTAAAAAGACACTGACTCAAAAAATAAAAAGGGATGGCGATACAGCTCAGTGTGAAGACCCTGGGTTCGATCCAATCCGCAGTACAATATAATGTGCAGGCCCACCCACAGAGTCCCAGAGAGAGGAGAGGAGGGGACAGGAAGTACTCCCTGCCTCTGCCCCAGGAAATGCTGGGGAGGAGCTGGTCCCACATGAAGGGCAACAGGATGAGTCTCTTGGCTAAAGCTAAGTGTGAAATAGGCCTTGTGCCTGTTCTGGGCCCTATTCCTCATCCATAACTCAAGGTAGTAAGCCCGGCCTTCTCACTGAGCTCTATGAGGAAGGGGCCAGGTCTCACACTGGGGGCAAAGGCAGGAAGGTTTCACCTGTAGCAGAGACCCAGCTGTCTATGGTTCCTGGAGCCCAGGGGCCCTCTCCCCTCAAATGTTTTGAGACAGGGTCTCGCTATGTAGCTCAGGCTAGCCTCAAATTGACAATGATCCTTCTGCTTCAGCCTGTTGATTACCGATGGGATTACTGATGTGTGCCACCACACCTGGCAGGGGCACTTTTTGACTTGAAGCTCTATCCTGGGCCTCAGGGCCTACTGGGCTGTACGGGGAGGGATCTGTGCCGCCCAAATATTGCCATGCACCTGGACATTGGGATGTCCAGAACGACAAAACTTCTACTAGTCAACCACAGGCCATGAGTTTCTGGATGACTTAAGTACCATCTGCCAGGACTAAAGGCAGAAAAGGCGTGGTAGAAGTTGCCAGCTTCTCTGGGATCCAAAGATTCTTTAGCCAGGTGTTTGGCCATTTTTGCAATCCCTGTACTCTGGGAGGCTGATGAAGGAACATCACAAATTGGGAGTCCAGCTGGACAATTTAGTGATTTCGTAAGACCCAATCCCAAAATAAATTTTAAAAAGGGAAAGGGATGTAGCTCAGGCCTTGGTTTCAACCTGAAGTACTACAAAGAAAAGAAAATGTTAGGTGAAGAAAAAGAATCTCACGTTTACTGAATTCACACGTTCTTCTCATCTTCATCCCCTCAACAACTCAGGGTAGCGCTGAGGATTTGGGAGCCGTGGATCTGGGGTCTGGGAGTCCCGGCACCCACGCCCCACAGCTGCCTTGTGCCTGGCCTGGAAGCCCAGCTCAAGGGCACATGTACCATTTCCATGTCTGTTCTCACCTGACTCAGAGCGGAATATGCTGGGGCAGTGCCCAGCCAGTGCCCCTTTAGGCCTGGTCCTCACGGGGCACCTGTCCCCACCTGTGCCATTTCTCTCTTCCCCGAGTGGCCCGAGCAGGCTCACAGTGGCTCCAGCCCTGACAGCTGCCTCCTTACCTGCCTCAGTTTCCTGTCTGTGCCAAGGCAACCCAGCCCGGCCTGCCCAACTGAAGAGCCCGGGGCCACGTCACCACGTCAGTGCAGGCTCCACCCTAACAGTCTGGGGGCCCAGGCTGTGGCTCCCCATCCAGCCCCTACCAGCCAGAGAGACCCCAGCTGCAGGAGGCAGGGCCCCACTCTAGGCCCCCCTTGCTCTCAGGAAAATTTAAAATCCCAGGGCACAGCTGGTGTGCAGCCCAGTGGGGAGCTTTTGCCCAGCATTCCTGAGGCCCTGTGTTCTGTCCTCAGCACCAGGAAATGAAATCCTGATTCCCCTGTCTCCCCTCACAAATTCTAATTGTGCACAAAGCCCCCTCCCCCGCTTAAATAAGGCTGTCCACACCGGGCCTGGTGGCACATGCCTGTTATCCCAGCCTCCAGAGAGGCTAAGGCAGGAGGATCACCTCAAGTTCAAGGCCACCCTGGTCTGTGTGATAAGACCCTGTCTCAAAACCTAAACAAAAAATAAGTCAATCCCAGTAGTGGATATTGCCAGAACGTGTGGACGGGGTGCTCGGTGCCCAAGTCCTCACAGCTGCCTAGATGTCCCTAGGCAGCCAACTTCCCCTCTTGCCTGGGCTTCTCCATGGCCACCTTCTTATATTTGGTTATTTTCCTCTCCTTCCCAAACACAACAATTCGAAATATTCCCAGCCTGCAGACAATAAACAAAGCCGGGAGGCAGCTTGGACGGGTTTGCTCCCACTTACGGCCTGATCAGAGGCCACCCCCAATGGGCCCCTACGGAGCCTGGCGGGTGGCCTGGCTTCAGTCCCAGGATCCCTGAGTCCCTTGGCTTAGATGATCAGGAACCCCTGAGGCCAAGTCCCCAAGAGTCAGGGCTCAGGGGGCAAGGGACCTGTGCAGCTGAGACAGCCCCTCTCTCCCGCCCCTCTCAGTTTCCAGCTGTAGGCAGTTGTGGGGCTCCAGGCAGGATATGCAGGGGTCAGCCCGAGAGAGCCTCAGTGCGCCCGTCTGTAAATGAGGCCCAGCAACACTGAGGAGAGGCCAGGCCCAGGCCAGAAAGAATGGCAGTTGTGACTGTCACCCTAGTGTGTCACTAAGATGGTAGGGCCAGCGGGAGTCAAAGGGGATGGGAAGGAGGGCAGGAAGGGAAGAGTCAATACAGGTGCGGTGGTGCACACCTGTAATCCCAATTCTCGGGAGGCTGAGGCAAGAGGATTGCCCTGAGTTTGAGGTTCACTTGGGCTACAGAGCAAGTCCTTGTGTCAAAACAAAACAAATGAAAAAAGAGTCTAAGTACTGAGAGGAACCCTGGATCTGAGAGGGACTGGAGGGTGGTAAGAAGCCACACCCTCACTGTGAGGGTGGGCAGGGTGGGTGGTGGCCACTGCCCTCATGGGAGCTTGACCCTGGCCTGGGGTGTCACTCTCCACTCTGCTTTGTCCCTTTTTGACCTCCATGCTGCCCTCTGGGAGCTGGGCAGAGGCAGGACTGTCCCCAGTGGGAGCCTCTGCATGGCTGGGGCTGTGGGAGGATTTGGGTATGGGGTCAAAGGACCCTGACATTCTCCATGCACAGCTCTGTGACCATCACTGGGCAGTGACCCAGGTCCAGTGGCCTAGTGTAGCCCTAGCCCACGGCTAATGTCACCGCCAGTGCTTGCCTGGCCTTTGGAGCCTGTAGCCAGTTGTGCACCTTTGGGACAGCCCCAGGCCCCGACCAGGACATTCCTGATGTGTGACTTCCTGCACAGCACCCAGGATGTCAGCTGCATTCAGCCTCAGCCACTGGTGTGCTATGCAGGCCATGGGCAAAGCAAAGCTCCCTGAGCCTCAGATTCCTGAACCATAACAGGAGGGCACTGGGGTGTCTCAGAGTGTGACATCCACAGATACTGCGGGAATTCTCAGCCGGGCCCGGTGGCACACACCTGCAGCCGCTACATTCTGGGAGGCTGAGGCAGGAAGATCATAAGTTCCAGCCCCACCTAGGCAACTTAGTGAGACCACCTCAAAATAAAAAATAAAAAGGGCTGGGGTGTACTTTATGTAACCTGTGCAAGACCCTGGGTTTGCTGCCCAGTACAAGAAGAGATCGAGATAGAGCTACAGATGAGACAGAAGAAAAGGGTAAGGCAGGAGTCTCCCAGTCTCCTCCCACCCATGCGCCCTGGCTTGCAGCAGGACCTGCCCTCTCCGAGTGGTCCTGTGGCCACCCTGCTGTCTTGGTGTCTGTCTCAGCTCCACATTCTCCTCCTCCTGTGAGGACACGGGTCCTGCTGACTTGGGGTCCGTGACCTTTCTGTCACCTTCGCTGGCGACCTCTGCAGAGACACCTTTTCAGCCTCAGGAGCCCCGAGTGAGTGAGGACCAAATTTGTCAATTTGTCTGTGGTGGGGCAGGGACACTGCCACACAGGCCAGTGAGGCGAAGCACTGGAAAGTCACCGGGGGGCGGCGGGGGCAGACAGGTGAGAGGCTCTGCCTAGGCTGACCTGGAGGCTGCTCAGGGACCGGGATCAGGCTGGGACCAGCTGCCATCTCTGGGAGCGCAGAGAGGTGGAAGGACAGCTCAGGGAGGGAAGGTCCAGACCACACCAGCACTATGCTGGCCCTGTGAGGCCCGCTGATCCTCCCACCCCTGCCATGCGGGCGACGAGGCCAGAAGCTCGCCTATGCCGGGTGACCAGTTTCCCACTCAATTCGGTACACCTGAGGCCCGTGATTTTTAAATAAAAACATTGAAGCCACCCAGTTATCAGATCCATGCAGTGCAGAACTCACCCTTCTATCGCTCCCCTGCTCCTCCTCTTCTGAGGGAAGAAGTGTCTGTCTGCACAGATTCTCCCAGAAGGCTCCCCAGCAAACCTCCTTCCCCTGGGCCCAGCTCCTGCCTCTCTGGCGAACAGGTGTTTCTCTGACTCTGGCCACGGGGCTTAACAATGCAGTTCCCTCTGTTGGGTGCTCTTCCTCTCTTCCTCCTCCTTCTCTTCTTGCCCCTCCTTTTCTTTTTCCTCCTCCTCCTTCCTTGGTCCTAATAAGGATTGAACCTAGGGCCTTGACACTGAGCTACACGTCCAGCTCCCTTTTATTTCGAGACAGGGTCTTGATAAGTTGCCCAGGCTAGGCTCAAACTTGGCATCCTCCTGCCTCAGCCTCTCAGATTTCTGGAATTACAGTGGTGAGCCATTTCTCCCCTGTGGTGGGGACTGACCTCAGGACGTGGGGTGTGGGCTGTCCTGGCAGTCAGATCTTTGGCCTCAGTGTCCCCACCTGTGCCATACAAAGGCCCTCTCTCTCCCTCAACACCCCAGCTCAGTCCAGGGGATGCTTCTTAGAATGAACCTGACACTCCTGCCTCACCACTCTACTGCCTAGCCCTGCTGGCTGCTCCCAGGCCGCAAGCCTGCAATTCCCTGGGTTTCTTCTATAGACCCTTCCATGGCTGCCTACCATCTTCTGAATGCTCACTGACCTCAGCTCAATCCTTGAGGCCCCACACTGGCCCCTCCTGTAGTCCCCAGCTCTCCACCCCCACCTTCCCTGGGCCCAGGGCTCTTCCCGCATGGGCACCAAGGTCTGTCAGCCTCCACCAACCCAGTGCCTCTGTCTTCCCAATTCCTGCCAGAATGAGGAGGTAGGAATGGGTCCTGTCCCCCTTTCACCCCAATACCAGGCTTGGGGGATGGGATGGTGCACACAGACGCTGGTGTTCCTGTATGGAACATGGGTCTAAGTGAGCCCAAGAGGCCAGGTCCTCTGTCCCACACCTGGGACCTTGGCATTGTCCACCTTCACCTGTCCCTTTCCCTGGGGAGAGCCTCCTGCCTCAGCCTCCAGGCTGCTGGCAGGACGACACTAGGTGCTTGTTCATGTGGATGGGGCGTTTGTTGGAACCAAACTGCCCACCTCTGGCTGCATCCCAGATGCCGGCTGCAGCCAGAATTAGTAGAGCACCTGGGATCCTGTGCCAGCCACTGCCTCGGTGGTCAAGGAAACAGGCTCAGAAGGGAGGGGCTGGCCTGAGACCACACAGGAAGTGGAGGGCACTGTCTGATCCGTCACGCTGGCCTGGAGCAGAAAGAGACTGTGCTCCGTCCCTAGGTGGCAGCTCTGGTCTGTCCCCTACCTAGGTGGCCCCATGGCCCTGTGCCGCAGGCGTTTTGTGGAGCCTGAGGCCGTTTTTCATGCCAGCTGGGCCTTGCGGGGACCCCAGCCCAGCATGGCGCACAGGTCTGGGTGCTGGCTGGCCGGCCGAGGGGGTGCACGAAGGTGCTGTGCTGTGCTGGCCGTGAGAGGACCGTGGAGGCCATTGCTTTGGTCACAGGGTGTGGTCCTGAGGGTTTTAGTCTGACATCACTGCCATCGTTGGCGACCCTTTGCCTCATCGGTGAACTTTGTCCTAGATGCGTGTGCAGGAAGCATGTGGTGTGTGAGTTTGGTGCTCTCCATGGTTCCTGGAGTCCTTGGCGGGGGGTCTGTGGATGAGGGGGGCACCTTTCGGGAGCCTGGAAAGGAACCTGAGACCTGAGGGAAAGGTGCTGGGCACCAGCAAGCTGTGCACCGGAAGCATGAGGCGGCAGAAACCACCCCGTCCTGGCTGACAGGGAAAACACTGAGGCTCAGAGCTGAAAGCGCTGGTGAGGTCACAGCACCAGCGGAACAGGGCCAGGCCCATCAAGCCTCTGTCCCCCACGGGAGGAAGAGGGGATACTCACATGCGTCGGGCTCCAGTGCCCGATTAGAGGGCTGGAGTCACCTGGGAGGGGCCGGCAGGGACTGTGGTGGAGGCCCAGACCTGCATGGCTTCCCCTGCATGGATCCTGTGATGATCTGTGCTTCACATTTCACAGGGAAGAACCCAAGGCTCTGCAAGTGTGAGCTCTGCCCCGGTGCACTTGAAACCTGGAGCAAGTGTCCTGAAAAGCCCCTCGAGACTGTTCTGCCATTAGCCTCTGCCCGGCTACTGCCCCCAGCCTGGACCCTGGACTGGGAGTACTGGTGACTGCGCTGTGGGAGGTGGTACAGGTGAGTCCTGAGGCCTGGGCCCCTGTATGACGGTTTCTCCTTTCACACACACACATGCAGCTGCAGTTAATGGGCCCTGGGGTCTTGTGATTCTCAGTTTTCATGTTTTGGGTTTCTTACGTGCGCTGGGGATCATGTGAACCCAGGGCCCCACATGGCCACACCCAGGCCTTGGTTTCTCTATCTGTGCCACAGGGTTGACCATTATGACAGCAGAGAAGACAGGCGGGTCCTCCTGAGTGTCTGGCATGGAGTGGTCCCAAAGCTTTCGCTGCAGCTCGGTCTGGAATCACACGGTCAGTCTCTTGTCAAACATGCACCGCCCAGCTGCTGTGGCCCAACGTGGATGAGGATTAGGACCAGCCTGGGAGGCTTCCATCCTGAGGGTACCCGACTGTGGGCCCACCTCCCCCACACTGCCCTTTGCCCACCCGAGAAGCCGGTGGAGCCCAGGCCCCTGGCTGTACCAGGACCAATGCCCTCTCTGACCCACTGAGGACCCAGGCAGAGGACATCAAGAGCCCTGGGTACCAAGTGGATGGGGGCCCGATGCTTCCCTTCCTTGCTGGGAAGGCTTGGGCTCGGTGTCCCAAGGTTCAGGACCCTGGTTTGCTGAGCTGTCCTGACTCAAGTACGGGCAACTTAGCCAATCAGGGCCCTCCCTGGACAGGACAGGGGTGACAGTGGACCAGAGGCTCAGTCCCAGTGCCCTGGAGGAGACCAGAGCAAGGTTACAGTGATGGCACATGGGCTTCTGTGGCGAGGCCACAGCAGTGGAGGCAGCTGGACCTGTGGCTTCTCCCTGGGGAGCTGAAGAGCAGACACCACCACGGCGCCCAGAGGGAGGGGCATGAGGGCGTTGACTAGGACACACTGTCCTGGGCTCTCACGACAGTGGCCTCTATGACCACAGCTCCACAGCCACAGGCTCAACCTAACTTGGACCAAAAATTATAAAAACAGCATCTGTACCCAACGAGCAGAGATTTCCCTGCTGTCATCACCTGTCATTAAATGACAGAGGGACAACTGTTTACACCATGTTGGAATTGCGTTGGGAACTGGATGTCACCCATGGGTAATTTGACACAAGAGCTGGACAGAGTGGTGCACAGCTGTGATCCCAGCACTCAGGAGGCTGAGACAGGAGAATCACAGAGAGTTTGGGCCCAGCCTGAGCTATACTTAACCTCAAGGCCTTAATAATATGACAGTAACAATGATAGCTGTCTGCTTGAACTCTCAGGGTGCTTTTCCATAACTCACCCTGCAATGCTCCTGAAAACCCCACTGCCTTCTTGTCTGGATGGCGGGCCACACAGCTGGTGGGCCGTCGGGGGGGACCTAAGCCAGGATGGAGGAATCACAGGTCTCTCTGGCGGTGAGACGCACCTGGCCCAGCCGAACGGGCGCACAGATACCTCGACAGTCACCTGCCACCGGGACCCCATGGAGCCAGGGTCTCTGCAGGCCATGGCAGCTCGTGTGCCTTCGAGTGCGGAAGCCCTGGGTGGACAGGGCCAGCAGTCTTGGGCTCTGCCTCACCCCATGGGGATGCAAGCCCAGCAGGGCCAGGAGCCAGGCTGGGGGGCAGCAGCTGCAGACCCTGGGTGGGGTGGCAGCTGTGAGTTTGAGTCCTGGTTGGGGGGTCCTTTACTGGTCTCTGGGCCCCCAGAGCCTCAGTTTCCTCACCTGTAGAGTGGGGTGCTAGTGTCTACCCTCAGCTGTGCCTGAAGTCTGGGGCGAGGCCGCTTCCTCTGTGCTTAGCACCCAGCCTGATCCGGGTAAGGATTGGCCTGAGATTAGTGGGAGGGGTCCCCCTGTTCACACCCATCACCCCCCAGGAAGAATAAAGACCTGCATACCCCATGCGCCGTCCCCCCACAGAGTGGCCATGTGGCCTTTGTGCTGCGACCCTAACACCTTGGACCTTGCTCTCTCGGCCGCAGCTCCAGCCCTCCTATTGCCCCTCTGAGCAGGGGACATTTGGTCCCAGGGCCTTTGCACAGCTCCCTTCCTAGAGGACCCCTCTCCCAACCCTCGTGTCCCAGTCCCTCGTCTCCTTGGCCTAGACTCCCATGCCCACCTGTCCCTGAGCTCTTCCTCCTGTTTAAATGGCACCGCCCCACCCAGGGTCTTTCCCTCCAGTTTCTCTCAAACTTGCAGTGATCTTCCTGCCTTGGCCTCCCAAGTCCTGGGATCACCGGCATGTGCCACCACACCTGGCTTTATTTTTCTTTTTTTGGTACTGGAGATCGAACTTGGGACCTTGGGCTTGCAAGGCAGGTGGTGGAACCACTGAGTTAAATCCCCAGCTCTGTTTTTCTTATCTTTATTTCCTTGCCCTGGGTTGCCTCCTCCTTCTGCAGCAGCCCTGAGCCCTCCCTACCCCTCCCTTCTGCCTACTCTTGCCTCTCTGTTCCAGTGCATACCTGTAATCCCAACACTCAGGAGGCTGAGGCAGGAGGATCTGGGCTATATAGTGAATTTAAGGTCAGTCTGGACTGTACACAGCAAGACCCGGTCTAAATAAACAAAAAACAAAAAGAAAAACAGTGGGTGGCTGTCCTGCTTTTTCACCAGCACAGAGAAATTTTCAAGATCAACAATGCTCCAAGCTTAAAAATGCAAAACGTGAAATTGTAAATGCTCCCATTATGGACAGAACTTCTGTGCTCCACAAACAGTGCAGCTGGGCTCTGATCGGCTTCCTGGAGTCCCCAGGGTGTCCCAGCAAGGAGCATCTGTCACATGCTCCCTCCAAATCTCCGTCCTCCGATGGCGAGGGTGGCGCCCTCTGTGATGTCACAGAGACACACACTTCCTCCTGACTCTCCTGCGGTCCCCTACTTGGCACCTGGGCTTTGTGCTGCTGATGACCCTGGGAGGACACTGGAAAGGCCTGGGGGTGGGGAGGCCCAGGGGCAAAGTCTCTAGGTCCAGGAGGAGCTCCCGCTGCGCCGCTGCCTCTGCGAAGGCTGCAGCTGGGGTCTCCAAGTCCCAAGTGTGGCTCTGAGGTGCCCCGGATCCGCCATCTACCCTAGGGTCCGAGAGGTGGCGTTCCTGGTCTCCAGCCTCATGCCTCTCACCTGCAGTACTGGAGGATGGAGTGGGTGCCCGGGCTGCGTCCCTGCTCCCTGTCCCTCCTCCGGGACGGAGGTGGGGACGGCTGTAGCGTGTGCTGAGGTGTGGGATACAGTCCTGGGCTTGGCCGGATGGGGCCGTGCTGATGGGTACCCGTTCGGTGAGGTCCTGCTCCTTTCTGGACATGCCCTGCCCATCCGACTGTAGGGCCCCATCTTCTGGAGCTCTGATGCCTGGCTGTACCCCAGCATCCGTGTTTCTGAGCAGGCACCGGGCAATGGACTCTGCCTTAGCCGGCGCTGAGAACCAGACCCACAAGCACTGCTTTCGGAGTCACGCAGTCCTCTTCCTGACTCTGCCTCTGGTGGGGCAGCCTCAGGCTGTTCTCTGAGCCTCAGTGCCCTCCTCATCAGTCGGGAGTGGTCAGGAGGTAAAGGGTATCTCGCAGATCGTGGGTTACGCAGCGCTCAGAAGCAGCCAAGAGACCACAGGCCTGGGCATCCAGAGGTGTGGCAAGGGGCTGGGCCGGGTCCTCCTCGCCCTCCAGCACTCAGCCCAGCTCAGGCAGGACCCTCTGAACCGGCTGTCACCACCCCTCTCGCAGCTGGGGACCTGAGGCACAGGTAGTAGAGCGAGTTGTCCAAAGCCACACAGCTGGGAGTGGCAGAGCCAAGTCTGTGGCCCAGGCCCTCTGGTTTTGGGACCATGTGCTCTGTGGCTCAGTGCCGAACTTACATGCCAAGCTCACGCTGAGATGGACACTACAGCCTGCAGAGGGAACACTGAGTCTTGCTAAATCATCCAGGCTTGGTTTAGACTTGGGATCCTTCTGCCTCAGCCTCCCAGAGAGACTGCTAAGATTATAAGTGTGCACCACCACACCCACTGCATTCACTCATTTTTTTGTGTATTCATCTGTGTCTCCCATCAACCATAATTGAGTACTGTATACCTCTCCTGGGTTCTGAGTAGGCAGAGATGAGACAGGCCCTCTGCTCCACCCCCACAACCCACCCAGGGCTTCCTAAGCAGTACAGCAGACACTAAACAACTTCCTCAGGGCCTAGAGGAGAGATTGATTTTATGTGCAGACATCTAGGAGGGTGACCACGAGGGGTGGTTTTCAACTAGGTATTGCAGGATGAATAGGAGTTCGTTCACCAAGAAGAGCACTAGACGGAGAATGGCAAATACAGCATACCCCTGTGACGTTGCACTTCACGGTCTCAGTCCTTCACAGAGTTTTCCTTAGAACCTAACTAATAATTATTCATGGAAACCCCCACAAGTTTGCAGAAACTGCAAATATCCTCCAAAAACTTTTTTTTGGGGGGTGAGAGGTTTGCAAGCAGCCAATCTGAGAGCATTGTTTAGTTCTTGCTGCTGAATGGCTGCTGACCTGTAACCCACCTCCAGCATTCCCACATCCGAGCAGGCCCCTGTACTGTGCATGGAGTATTATGTTTTTCTTCTTAAAAGCCCTGGAACCCTGAAGACGCTGCCGAAATGCCCTGTACCCTCCAAGGCTTTATTAATACAGTACTTTATTAAATTAAATTACATAGGGCTGGGGATTTAGCTCTTGGGTGCCAGCACCTGCCTCGCAACTGCAAGACCCTGAGTTCAATCCCTGGTACCTCCCCCCAAGACTAAATTACATAACTGTGGGAGACATCACATATTTAGGGTTTAAACTATAAAAATAGGCATTTACAAGCATTTTTCTGACCATATTAAAATTCATGGGTTTTCACAATTTGCAGGTGCTCCAGAAACCTCACCCCTGCGGGACACGGTAGCCCAGGGGCCACTTAGGGGCTAGCACTGAGGGAACACGAAGCAGCCTGGGGAGGTCGCACCCCCTGCCATGGCGTGGTTGCCGTCCAGGGCCTGGGGAGGCACCAGGAGGAGGTGATTGGCAGTTAGGAGTGGAAGTACAGTCCTGCTGCCAGGACTCTGGGATGTGCAGCGGTCTCTGCTCTGCGGTCAGGAAAGCATTTAACGGAAAATAAACACTCGGTTCCTGTCCTGACCACGGTGGCGCCCACCCACCGCCAGGCTGTATGGAGCCTGGAGCTCCCCTGCTGTGCCACTGTGAGGAGCTGGGACCCAATGACACAGCCCTGCCCATCCATGGCCAAGACCAGGACTGCAGACCCCTCCTCCCGGCCCCTGCTTCTTGCATCCCTCCTGGGCCGGGGCATTCATACCCTGACCTGCTGCCCGTGTCCCTTGGCATTGGTTCCTCCACACGCTGCCAGACTGGCCTCCCCCTTGTCCCTCTCCTCAGGGCCCAGGCCCTTCTGCTGTGCCTGCCCTGGAGCCAGCCCTGCTCAGGTATGGGCCACAACTCCTCTGGCTCTGTTGGGCTGGGAGTCCCTTTGCCTTAGGCTGGGCTGGGCAGCTTGGGCGCAGTGGGAGCCCCAGGTTTGAATCCAGATGAGCCACCCCTGGTAGTGCTACTCTGGGAGGTGACTCGGTTTGCATGTCTCCGAGCTGGCTTGGGTGAGCTCTCTGCCATGCTGTCCAGGACATGCCCTGGGCCCAGTCACCCAGTCCTGCGTGCTGTGCCCTGTGGTGTCACCCGCCCCCAGAATCCCTCCCTCATGGGCAGAACAGGTGCCTGTCCAGGCTGTGGGGCAGAGGACCCCAAGGGCACCCTCACGCTGTCCCAGCCGTGGCCACTGTCTCCAGAAGCCTCGGTTTGCCCCTCTGGGCAAGGGGACAGAGTTGCGCCTTTGCCCTGTGTGCTCCTGTCACCCTCAGAGGGGCACTGTGCGGCCCAAAGTGCCTGGCACCCTGTGCGTTTGAAGAAGAGGTGGCAGGGGCTGGGTCGTAACCCACGACGGGTTGTATAAGCCCGGAGAAGCCATCCCCTTAGTTGTGACAAAGTGCTGGCTGGTGGCTGGCTGGCCCCAGGCTCCTGTGCAGGACTTGGGTGCTGATGGAGCTGCAGCCCAGAATGCACATGCAGGAAAGGCGGGGAAGAGCTTGCTGACCCAGGGCTGCTGCTAGGGGCGAACTCCAGTGGTTCTGGATGTCCAGCTGCTCCCTGTGCCATTCAGACGACATTTAGGAGCTGGAGGAGCTGGAGGAGCCTCCACACAGATGCCGGCTGGGCACTAACCATTGTTTGTTTTTTTATTTATTAGTTTTGTTTGTTTTGTTTTGGTACCGGGGATCGAACTCTGGACCTTGTGCTTGTGCTTATGCTTGTGAGGCAGGCAGCAGCACCACTGAGCTAAATCCCCAGCCCAGTTTTATTTGTTTTTTGAGATAGGTTCTCGCTATGCAGTTCAGGTTGGATTCAAACTCACCATGTAGTCCAGGCTGGCCTCAAACTCACTTTGGTCCTCCTGCCTCAGCCTCCCGAGTGCTGGGATAAGAGACACATGCCACCGTGCCTAGCTGTGAGCGAGCACTTTTTAACCTCCTTCACTTTTGTTGAGATTGTCTGGTGAAGCCACCCGCAGGTGACAGCCCCAGGCAGTGTGGGACAGGACTGCCCAGGCCTCAGACAGGGCTGCCCAGGCTCCATACTGCACACCTTTCTGGCTCTGACCCTGGCCCCTTGTGACCCTGGCTGGTGGACTCCTCCTTGGGTAGCTTGTGCACCTCCCTGCCTTGGCCTCCGGCTTTGTGCAGTGGGCCGCCTGAGGTTCCTGGGCCCTGAGAGCTGTTGGGTGCATTGTTAGGTAAGAGCCACAGAGGCTGTTGTATCAGACTCACACCTGCCCTCGCCCCACAGACCAGGCAAAGTTCAGCATGGGGTCCTTCGTGCTGGAATTCCACATCCCCACGCTGGACCGAGCTGGGTTCCTGACCTTCCCGGAAACAGAGATGAGAAGAAACGCCAGTCTCCTGAAGAGGCAGTGCCAACCACTTGATAAAACAAAGCCCCCTCTGCTTTACCCCGGAGCAACAAATTAACCAGAAATGACCCAACATCAGTGCCCTGATCTTGGCTGGGAAGGGCAGACGGGGTGCATGCTCGGTTGGCCTGGCCTACAGTGAGCAGGCATTTGCTGTGCAGCTGTGCCCCAGCCCTACCTTTACCTGTGTTTCTTTTTGTTGGTACCAGGGATCGAACTTGGGTCCTTGCACTTGCAAGGCAGGTGGCGGAACCACTGA